TCAGTCCGTCTTTCCCAGATCCGTCATTGTAGTGTCTGTGGATGTTCGTGCCTGTTTACCCTCCGTTTCGAATAAAACCGTTTGCCCGACTTCACGGCTTCGCTCACCTGTTTTCCGGCTCACCCGCCCCGCGAAACCTGACAGGTGGGAAACGGGGTTAAAATTGTTAGGAGTTCATGCTTAGATATAACAGTGTAGGATAAATAAATAAATTTAATTTAATTTTAAAAAATAATTTAAATTACTAATCATTAACCAAATTATCTTATTTTAAAGTTTCTGTGTAAATATTAATCACCTTTCTTAACTTAAAAATGTAAGAGTTAAAATAGAACAGTGCTGATGAATTGTTGGAATCGCTCTTCTTGATCGGAGCGGAGCGGGAACGTCCGTTAACCTACGAGTTTGGAAAAACTGGCTCGAGCTCATCATACAGCGCAAAGGTTTGTGCAATTATTAAATAAAAAGGTATTTTTAGTCATTATTTATTGGGAAAAAAAATTAAGCGTAATTAAAAACACAATTACTTTAGTAGCTAGCGCTTATTTTGTATATTTGCAGCTTGTAAATGCAACTAAGATTATGGCTAATCTTGCTAAACTTTGTTAGTTAACTTGACTTAGCGTTTCTGCAAGTGTATACTGTTAGATTTGTAGTAAGTTTTTTCCAAACTTTTGGAGCTTGACTAAAAGTTAGCTCTCTGAACATTATTTTTCAGATGTCAATTATGGAACAACTTGATGGAGCATCAAGGGCTACCTTACAAGGTAAAATGTAATTCAATTTCCATGTACACTCAAAAAAATTATATGTTGGCATTACTTAACTTTTTTATGTCAACAGGTTCCACGTAACTGAGTTAAGTTGCCTTTAAGAAAGAATATTTATTTCAGTGAACTTAAGTTAATTACATAAAGTTAATGTAATTTTGTTTAGTTCAATCAACGTAACATTCATGATTTTGTATTAATCTATTTAGTTAATTAAGTTCAATTACTCTGAAGTTTATATTGTTACGTTTAACCCCCTGGGGTCTGAGGCCTCTTTTCCACTTTCGGGGTAGTCTGACATGCCTTGACATTTCAAAATATTTCACCTATCTAAAAACATTTATCCCAAACTGTTACATGTGCTTTTATTCAGCACAAACTCAGCACCAATAATCTGAGACCACTTAGAATGTTATTATTCTATTTTTTGTTAAAATCTTTAAACATATA